ATCGCGGCGGGCCTTCCGACAGGAATGGGGTTGACGAGGGGGGGAGGGGTGGCGCGCTCGACGGCCTTTTGGCGGCGCGCCTGACAAGACAGTTCTGAGATCAAGGAGGGGGGGAACGTTCTTGACCAGCCAAGCCGTGCTTGATGGTCAAAAACGGGGTTCCCATAGAAAAGCCTTGGGAGTGGCCCCTTGAACCACAGCGGACGGAGCCCTCTGCTTTAGGTCCTTTAGGTTTTAATTTCGCCCAACATATGCCAACGACACGCCGCTCAATTGGGGAGTAAGGCCAATCTGATCCTTGCTTGGGGATGGCATGGGCTGACAGCGACAATCCTGTTTAATAAATCGGAAATAACGGAAATAACGGCTGGACCTAAAGGTCCAGAACAAGTTCCGGTGTCCGCCTATGTTGGGAGCTCGAAGAACTTGAAAGACCTAAAGGATCCATTACATTCGCAAAGCAACTCGTTCTGGTACAAATAATAAAACTCGAGGACTTGAACCCTCCATTCGAGTTTTGTAAAAGTCTCCGCGTTTCAAAATTTGTACCAGCACACGTTTCTTTACGAATCCAATTTCAGATCCTTGCATGAACTTGTCCAGAGCGCTGCCCACCCAGACAAAAGCCAAAAGTGAAAAAGGAATCTTCGTTACAGAGTAACGGTACAATCCCAGCCCGCAGGGCGTCCTTTTCTAATCCAGCTGCTGGACGTATGCAGTCAGAGCCCTGCGAATTGCCGGATCGTATCCTTGTTGTTGTGGCTGGTTGCTAGCTGGGACACCCTCAACCCCCAACCCTGAACCATCAACCCTCAACCCTCAACCCTCAACCTTCATCTTTCAACCACCCTCAACCCTCAAACATCAAACATCAACCCTCAACCCTCAACCCTCAACCCTAAACCCCAAACCTCTCAACCCTAAACCCTAAACCCTAAACCCTAGCCCTTAACCCCTAACCCCTGACACCTAACCCCTACACCCTAAACCCTAAACCCTCAGCCCTCAATCGTGACTGCCCACTTTCGCCAAAGGGCGCAGGGGATACACGTAACCAATAGGGTCCCGGGGGTGCCTAGTTGGCGAAGGAGGGAAGGGGGAGAGGGGGGAAGAGACCCTATCCCGTGAGTGGCGGACGATATAGGGTCCCTGGTGACCCTACGGGGTCCTACGGTAGGAATATCTAGGTGCATAGGAGCTAGGTCCTAGGGGGGTCGTATCGTAGGTCCTAGATAGGCCTGGTCTCCTGAGACCGCATCACCACATATGGGACATCTAGAGTCCAACTGTGGAAACTAAGCCTCCGTGGGCTTGCACATGTACAGGGGTCACTCGAAATTAAGGACACACACCGCCCTAGGGTCCTACCGTAGGCCCATGCCTACGAGCATATGACCCTAGGGGCGGTGCGTGTCCTTAATCCCGAGTAACCCTTGTACATGCACCCCTGTTTTCCCACTCACGGCCGTTAAACTATTTACAAATATACACCAGCATGCAGCAGTGCCGACTATGCTGCCATCCCCCCAATTACATACAGAGGGACCTCGCTCCGAAGACCCCCCCCCCCCCCCCCCCCCCCCCCCCCCCCCCCCCC